CGGTGCTGACAAGATACATGCAAAACTAAGGGTTAATTCGTTTGTTTATACTTTTTGACATATTAGTACCTTAAAAGATAGCCGCACTGAATTGTCAATCACACCTTGATTGTATCATGGCCTTGGTAAAATCTTGCAACTCATTCCCTACACAACTCACCAAAAATCACTCTAATTTACTGCATTTTGGAATACGGAAACATTTGGTACCAGGGTTGTCACTTCAGAAACTAATTTAGCGGTAGATTATTAATAAAAACAGCGGTAGAGCTCTTACAAAGTGTGGTAGAATATTTGTAAACTTTTTATTCGCCGAGTTACACTGTAAGTGACCATATATTTAATACTTCTATATTGCTGGTACAATATGATCGCAATGTGTTTTCAATTTGAAATAAAGAATGAAGCGCCATATGAAAACAGGGACGGTTCAGGGAATTAGACCAACAAGCAAACGTATATCTTTAAAACTAGAAGGCCCCGAAACCTGAAAGTGTGTATATTTGAAAAGCGGAGTAGCTTCCCAATGGCATAGTCAAAATTTGTCGCCCGGTTATCGTAATCTTCCCATTTCTATTGGAAAACAAATAATTTTTATTTTATGGACAACTCTTCAAAAGCGAACCATAGTCGCTTTTAGCTTTTAGCTCGCAACGACGCCCTCGCGAGGGCAGAGCTAATGAGGTCCTCGCATGAACGAAAGACACAAGATCACGTAAGAACAAGAGAGTGAAAAAAGTCGATTTTTTTAGCGGGTTCTACGCCATCTTGTTTCGCTGGAAAACGAGCGAAAAGTAAACAAAGCAAAGAAAACAACGAAAACCAAAATTAGCCAAAATTATTGTCAGCCTCTTTAAACGCACAATTTAGGTAAAATGATGCAACAAAATGCTTTAAAATGTGTTGTCATGTTGAATTAACTTTTCTTTACTTGAATAAAAGTGTAAAATAGTGGTGCTTGTGATGTAAACAAACGCACAGCTGACGAACCCGCTTTCGCAAACTTTTTTCTCAAAACCAGTTACAAATACAACGTCTCGTTTTTACGTGATCTTGTATTTTTGGTTCATGAGGTCGTCGTTTGCTTGCCGCTCTACTCTTCCGCTGCCCTCGTTTGCTTACTCGCTCGCTGGCTGCTCAGCGCATGCGCTCGTACTTAACGAGTGCTCGTTTGCAAACAGCCTCGCTTGTTGGTCGTGAGTTGCAGAGCAAACTAACGAGCGAGCGAGGGGTAAAATGAGGCAAAAACGAACCCTGCCTAGAATACTAACCTTATTTTTTATATCTTTAATACTAACGTTCGCCTGTGAGGCTACTTTAAAAAAAGTAAAAATTCTGTCTTTCTAGAACCTTAAATTTGTTTAAAAAATGGGCTTAAACATATTTCATTTGTTTTTAAAGTAAAAAAATAAAATAATTTAATAATTTTTTTAATACTAATAAAAAATTATTCGTATTGAAAATAACACATATTGTATAATCTTTTTGAAAGTTGTCATGAACGCACTCAAACAATCCATAAATTATCTTAAAGGTATTCGTATTTACTTTCACACTTAAAAGGAATTAGTTATTTATCTTTTCTATTGTGACCTGTACTTAAAAATGAAACCGACTTTT